GAGGAGGAGGAGCAAATGGAGGACGACGAGGAGGAGGAAAAGGAGGACAATGAGGAGGAGGAGGAGGAGGAAAAGGAGGGAGGCGTGCTGTCGCTGCGCCTCCGTCCGGCTGATGCTCTGCATCTTTCTCGCGGCGCTCCTGGTTGTCTGGGGTCTGGAGTTTGTGCGCGTCGACAGGTTAGCGCGCCGCCTTCAAGAGGAGGCGTTCCACTTTGTCGTCCTCTGCCGCCGCGATCGGTGCGGGCGTCGGGCGCAAACAACAGACTTGCCGCGGCCAACAGAGGCACCACCAGCCCAAGAAGCAGCGTCTGAATCGAACACTGCCCGTTAAAGTCGGGAGATGCGAACGTTTCGAGGAAGAAGATGTGGAAACGGCGGTGGGCAAACAACTAATGTCGGCATTGCCTCCCCTGCCCATCCTGGTGGCCGCGTTGACGGGTGATCGTGATGCTGTTGATGATGATGATGGTGATGGTGATGATGATGATGATGATGATGACGATGATGATGATGATGGTGATGGGAATGATGATGGTGATGTTGATGATGATGATAATGATGGTGATGGTGATGGTGATTGAGATGGTGATGGTGATCGTGACAATGGTGACGACGGTGTGATGATGATGATGATGATGATGATGATGATGGTGATGGTGATGGTGATGGTGATGGTGATGGAGATGGTGATGATGATGGTGACAATGGTGACGACGGTGACGATGATGCTGCTGATGATGATGGTGGTGATGGTGGTGGTGATGACGATGATGCTGATGATGGTGGTGATGCTGATGCTGGTGATGATGGTGATGATCAGGATTATGCTGGTGATGGTGATGGTGATGGTGATGGTGATGGTTATGATGATGGTGGTGGTTATGATGATGATGATGATGATGATGATGATGGTGATGATGATGAAGATGGTGGTGGTGATGGTGGTGATGATGATGCTGATGATGCTGATGATGCTGATGCTGATGATGGTGGTGATGTTGATGCTGGTGATGATGGTGATGATGATGAGGAGGAGGAGGAGTAGGATGTAGGAGCCAGAACGAGCAAGACATTGTTCTTGAAGGGAGGAAGGAAGGAGGTGGGGGAGGAGGAGGAGGAGGAGGAGGAGGATCGTGAAAAATATGATATGGGAGGCAGGAACAGGTGGGGAAGGACGGGGGATGGGGGAGGGAGGAGGGGAGGAGGGAGGACGAGGAAGTAGGTACGGAGAGAGTCGAGAGAGGGAATGCTGATGAGGAGGAGGGTGAAGGAGGATAGAGGGCGACGGCGGTGGCGACGGCGGCGGCGTCTGTGATGGCGGCGGCCATGGCAGCATCGACGGCGGCGGCGGCGGCGACGACGGCGCCCCCCCCCCTCAGGTGGTCTCCGCGCCTGCGGCGGCCGCCCCAGCCGAGGCGGCGGGCGACTTCCACGGCCACGGGGGCCACGCGCACCACGCGGTGGAGGACCGCCTTGGCGGCCCAGCAGCGGGGTGGGTGGGCATCATCCCGCGTCGCGACGAAATCACGACGGACGGATTGTGGCCTTTTGCGCCGCGCCCGCCGCCAGGCTCGCTCCACCGCACATTCTGCCTTCGAGGCCAGACGCCTGAACGCATGCCCTGGCAGGAATCACCAATCGTAAGGCGAGGCGTGGGTACACAGTTCCATAAACATTCCCCGTCCTCCCGCGTTGTCGTTTCTGCGCTTTGTGGTCACCGTTGCCTCCCCCTCGGCCTCCTCTTCCTCCCCCTCTCCTCGTTCCTTCGTCAACCACTGCACGCCAAGGTGCACAAGCGGGCTCATGCAACACACTGGAAGCAGACAACAAGCACACTCAATATGGACGTCTGGCTCTGGCCTCTGCTGCAAGAACCACCAGGCCCCCAGGGCCCAGGGCCGGGCAGGAGCGGCCGCGCCGCCCCGCTCCTCGCGGCAGCTGGGCCGTCGAGGTGCTTCTGGACGTGCTCGCCGGTTCTCGGCGGTTTTCCGTCTCCGGGGTGCTCTCTGGCCGCTGCGCCTCGCCGCGGGGCCTTCGGGGGGGCGGGCGGCCCAGACGTCGGGGCCGGCGCACAGGGAGGGGGGGGGGTTGGGCAAGGGGGGAGGGTGCGAAATCTGCCGTGTGCAGCTTGTTTCGGCCCAGCCGGATGCGTGGCCGCTTCTGGCGCCGAGGGGCGCTGGGAGAACCACGCGCGTGCAGCTGGTTTGCTAAAGGAAACACGGAGGCGAGGGTGTCAATTATCATGCGGTGGGTTCGTGTCGTGTCGACTGAGCGCCAGCGCGGTCCCTCAGAGCGGAACGCCGCCCGGGGCCCAGAATTTGCTGACATCGAACAATCCGCGCCATCGGAAAGCCATAACCGTTCATGGTTGAGCGATCCACGCTTTGGCGGACACCAAAGCCAGCGACGTTAGTTACGACTTGAGCTTGCCGTAATTATGGGCTGGGAGAGGATGGGGGCGGCATTCCGCGATGCCATCCCTCGGGTTAACGTGCTTGCGTGGGGCAGCTGGTCCTGTTCCAGAGTTCCACGGCCTTGGCATGGCGGAGCCAGGGCACTGAAGAAGACCGCCGGCGAAGAGGACCGCCAGCGAAGACGATCCTTGCGAAGGCCACCGGCCCAGGCATCCGACGCTGTTTGTTTTCAATGCGCGGCTCTCCCCAGGGATGCTTGTTTGACGGCCCCGTGGCCCAGTACATTGGGCCCCATGAAGGACCAGAGTCGAGGGACAACGCCGGGATTGAAACTGACACGTACTTCGCGTAGCAAGCACTTTCGGATGTCCGCGCGGATTTTTGGTCGGCGCTGGCACCCCCCTGTCGGCGCCTCCGGCGCAGCCCCTGGCGCACCCCGCGCGCCAAGGAGGGGCGTCCAGCGCCGATCCAAGGCATCCGCGCGGACCTCCGACAGTGTACACATGGTTCATTCCTAATTCTTCGAAAGTTCTTTGATTTTTTGGGGGGCCAAGATCCTGTTATTTCTAATTGTTCCATCCTGGGACTCTTCCTGGCCACTAAGGGGCCAGGAGCAATTAGAATCGAGCACACTTCGAAATGAGCACAATCAGAAATGCACGACGTGCAGGCTGATGCGATTGCTTGCTGCTCTGGTGTTGTTGGCTATCTGGGGGCGGCACAGAGGCGGACCCCCAGCGGAGGCGACGGGGCAGAGGCGGACCCCCAGCGGAGGCCGCGGCGCCGGCCTGCAGATTTTGTTTGGTGTTGTTCGTCGTTCCCGGGGCTCCCTTCGGGAGGCAACGTTCCTCGGGGGCGGCCAAGAGGGGGATGATGACAAGGGGGGGGTGGATATCATGGCGTGGTCCATGATCTTTCCCCAGACTTCATGGCGCCGCTTCTTATTTCATCACGTTCCCTGGCCCACTGCTGGGCCGCGCACATGCCGCCGGTCATGATTTGCGCCTCCCCCTCTTGGACGCCTTGGCCGCTCCCGACTTGGGTCAGGGCTGGAATCACGGCGGAGGGTTTCTGTTAATTGCCGGCCTCCGCGGGCTCTTGCTGGACCTCGGGGCCGTCAGGGAACGACTCGGGACAAGAGCCGCTCCTGGGGAAGGGGTCTAGACTCTGGGGGTCCACGTCACGCAACAATCACGACGTCGGGGGTCTGGGTTAGGTTGGGGGATCGGCTCAGGGAGGATCGACACCCAATCGCCCATTGATCGCCGAAAGCGGCCCGATAGCCCCCCCCCTTCAAGGACCATGCGGTTTCGCTATCGGGGGCCTATCGCCGATTTATCGGCGATCTATCGCCGATTCGCGCTCGATTTGTTTCCCCCTGAGCTGGTTTCCCCCATCGTTCTTGTGCCCCCATCTCAGGAAGCCCCTGTGCTGTCGATTAGCGGCTCGGGATGAACGCAGGCGCGCCAACCAGTCAGCCTAGCACAAACCAGTCATTGAGTTGCAGGGTCTCTGATGTTTTCCTGGAGCCTGCTTCCAAGTTTGTTGCTGACTGGTTTGCGCGCTCTTCTGGGCGGCACTTCCCCGATCTCATACGATCTCATCACAACCGCCTCATCCAGTCAAGACAAACCAGTCTTGGAGCTGGTTGGTTTTTATGATTATACATTGGACTTGTGACCCAGTCTGTTGGCCGAAATGCGCGCGCCCGAGCAAGGCCTGTCTGGGGAAAACCCCGGGGTCCAGGGCTCGTTTCCTCCAGGACCCGTTTTCCTCGTGGTAACGGGGCAGGACAGCGGCGGTTGAAGCACGTCGTCGTCGTCGTCCTCCTCCTCCTCCTCATCCTCCTCCACCTCGTGCTCCCTCCTCCCCCATCTTCCCGCATCCTTCCTTCTGCCCCTCCTCCTCCCTCCCTCATTTCTGGATCTCTCCCTCCTGCCCTCCTCCTCCCGCCCTTCTTTCCCTCCTCTTCCTGCCCACTGCCTCCAGCCTCCCTCTCCACTGCGCTGGGTGGATGATTCTGCCCGCGGCGGTTCTTTGGGCCGCCGGGCAGGGCGGGGTCTGTGTACTGCCGTTGCTGCTTTTGAGCGTTCTGCTCCCCTCCCTGCCCCCCCCTGGCCCCGCGCGTTCTGCTCCCTGGCCTCCGCGCACGGGCAGGGCCACGCGGACGGCGGCCACGCGCACGGGAAGGGCCACGACAGCCACGCTCATGGCCGCTCGCGCCCAGGGTGTGCGGCGCGCCACGACGTCGTGCGCGCCGTGTGCGCTGCGTGGCCCGGGGCCTCGTGGCGCCTGGTCGGGGCTCGTCGTGTGGTGTGCCGTTCCCGGGCCCCGCGGGCCTGGGCCCACAGAGTCCCAGGAAGTCGGGCGACGAGATCGATACGTGGGGCGCCTCAGACAGGATCGAGGAAGGCTGGTATCTCTTCCGCGGCGGAAGGGGGCGGAAGGGCAGCGGAAGTAAAACGACGGCGGGTCCGCTGGCGGAAGCCGGCGGAAGGTTGGCGGAAGCTTGCGGAAGTTAAAGCTGCCCGCCCCAAAGGATGACGGCATTTTGTGGGGTTCGGGGGTGCCACAACCCCCCACGTG